TGTTCTTCCTCTTTTTTCCTCAAGGAACCTTACAGCGTTAAAGTCCCCCGCCAACAACCATCTCCCTCCCTTTTCTAAAATTAATTTTTGTAGCTCCTCCCACACCTCCACCTTCTTCCTTCTGTCATTCGGAGCATACACATTGACAAAAGAACAGTTTAGTTTCTTCACACCCCATTCCCCTGACACACCCAAAAAGCCATCACCCGCAAAATCTTCCTTTTTTGTAAACTTAAACTTATTCCAGACACACACCATACCTCCCGAAGCTCCTGTTGACCCCTTCATGACCCAATCGAAGCCTTCTGAATACCACAACGTTCTACAAAGACTACCATCTGCTTCCTCTAACTTAGTTTCCTGCAAAAATAGGAAATCTGGCCGTTCTACATTTACCAGCTTCCCCACTTCTTTCTTCTTCAATAGACCCCCCAAACCCCTTACATTAAAAGATAAAATCTTCATTAAAAAGAAAAAACACCCACAACCCCAAACATCCCGTACCTCCCTACTTCCTTCCCACCTCTCGCCCCTTCTCCTCATCCCTTTCTTCCAACACTAACAACCTAGACTCAACCTCCTCTTCATTATCTTGAAGTTCAATACCTAGCTCTTTCCCCACTCTAATTATTTTCCTCACCTCATGCAAAAGCAAATCTTTTCGAATTACCTGGTTCCTGTTCGCAATACAGCCATCTGAGATAGAGACACTGCCAACCCGCTCCTTCGTCTCCGATTCAGCCTTTCGAACCACCCCTCGTCTGCCTTGTCGATACTTCGTTCTGGCGGTCACCAAAGACCCTTGATTCGTGCAGATTTCTTGTAGCTTGTTCGGGTAGCATTCCTCTAATTTCTTGTGCGTTTTACCCGTTAATTCCTTTTTACCCACCTCACGGACAGCAGCTAGCTGGCTTCCAATCTCAGTGTTTGACTTAATCCCTATACTGCACCCACCCGTGCCATTTGATTTAGATCCAAGCCCATCGCACTCCTCCAGCCCACCTTGCTTCTCCACCACCGGCCCAATACCCATATGTGACCCGTTACCATCACTGACCCGAGCCCTGAGCATGCCTTTCAAATTGCAACGGTTTTCTCCCTCGTTTTCGCTCACTTCTTTTAGATTCAAAAAACCTTCTGTTCTGGACTGCGTATCATCAATACTATCAACCTCACCGCCGTGAATCTCGGCGTTACACCCTTCCTTCCTTGATTGCATATCATCAAAACTATCCCTCTCAATTCCGTAAATCTCAGCATTAATCCAGTCATGATTCGCATCACTGCTTTGGCTTGCCGAATATTCCGTTTCCGAGACCACCTCGCGCCGCCGGTCACAGTCCGACAGCCACCAATCAGGATCCGTTCGCCATTCTTCCTCAACCACTCCCACCTCAAATTGTTGTTCATTCACCTTTAAAGTAATGGACTTTGATATCTTACCAACCTCTGGACTTACAACTAGAACTCTGCCCTCTGACAGTATCGCTCTGTTCCTCGTGTCTTCATGGAGCCGTATCACCTCCCCCACTGATTCACCAATCTTCTCAAAGCATCTAACACTCCAGGCCTTCAGCGGGACCCCGGTAATGTGTAACCAGATCAATCGCCCATTTGATGAGGGTGCCTCTGTCCATGGCTGTATTGATTCAAACCACAGATCAAACAAGTCCATATTGTGTTGTCTAAACTCTGAAAGGAATCCTTGAACACGCTCAACTAGCAAAAATTGTCTTCCTCCTAATGGTAGCAAGCTAATCGACCCACCATCTACCTCCATTCTGTCCTGAATATCTGTTATGTCTTCCAATGCCTTCACTACAACCACCATGCTCCCTTCTAGCCACTGGACCTCCTCCTGTACTGGGGTAAATTCAATAAGCTGCCCCTTTACTGGTACTTCGTTCTCATTTGCCAATCGTCCTGCACCAGCATTCCTATCATCAGGACCCACCGTCTCGTCCACATGCTGGCTTACCGCCTTATCTCCATTATCCACCAACTCCTCCTTTGCCTTTTCACTGACTGATCTTTCGCGAGCATTACTCCCATCTGCCTGTGCTCTATTTCCCACACCCACAGCCTGAGCATAGGACTGTCCCGGTTGGACCAATCTGCCTAAATTACTCACCTTCCCTTTGCCATTGTTTGCAACAGAGGCTTTCCAATATCCTATCTTTCTTCTATACCTGTCTTCAGCAAGTTTTACTCGTACCTTATACGTCCCAATCCAGATCTCATTAAGGCTCCTCTCCGCAGTTACTGCATTGGAGCAGGAACTCTCCGCAGCTGCATCGCCTGCATATGTCCATCTGCATCGGCCGTATTTTCCGTACGTAGCGCACCTGCATGCTTTTACTAAATATCAACACCACTTCCACTACGGAAAATTCTTTTTTTAGGTTCCACTATGGAAATTAACTCTCATGATTTAAAATAAAAATTCGTTATTTTGGTTGAATCAATTTTTCCATTAAAGGCTTCACGGCTGATTACGCAAGTCAGTAATGATTGATGAGTTGTTTGGCTAGCGTGGGTTTCAATCTGAGTCATTTCAAATATAAAGTGATGAGAAACGTAATTAATGTAAGAAAAACAAATCGAAGAAGAGATTTGGAAAGACCTGCAAGCAATACAGCCAGGGGCAACAAGGAGAAGGGCAGCCGCAGTGTTCGTCGCAAACCGCAGAAGTTCCCTTTACTTTCAAATCTTTCACTCGCTTCCTTGGATTCTCACTCCTTAAGTCCTTTTTTTTTTCCTTAATTTTTTGTTTTTCTTCTTTTCCTTTCAATTGCGTGAACCCAAACCCACTTTGTTTGGCTTTAAATCTTGGCACCGCTAACAGGTTGCACGAAGGACTTGTATAGGGCTTACACATGTGCATATACGTGTGCGTAAGTTGTCTAACCTGAGTCATTTTGTAAACAAACCAGGTGCCTAAAATTGTGACAAATGGTGTCACGGTGCTGCATTTCTTTAGCACTCCAAATTGGTACAGATTCCGCATTGAACTCTAAATTTCGCCCTCATGAGTTTTAATCGTTTTGGTGGTAATCTTGTAAGTGTTTGGGATAGTTTTTTGAGATTCGTTAAAAAAAAAA